GTCCTCTAGTATAAATACTGCTAATGACGATGTCCCTTCAAAAACAGAAAGTGACCGTCCTGTTGTAACATGTAAATAATACAATCTCTAAATTAAAGTTCGATGATGCGGTCGTTTGCAGGAATGGGAGTTACAACAACAGTTCACATAAAACATAACAGTTTAAATTAAAAAAATAAATAAATCAGTCAAAGAAAAAGATTCCTTCTACAGTACTGATAAAAGCAAGATTCTCAGTCCGACAAAAATTAGTATGTGGGAATTTAAAGCGTTTCTAAAAACCGTTTTAATTGTCTCACAGAAATCAAATGTTCTAGCAAATACAGTGTTATTTTACTATAAATACATTCGACAACGCTTAAATTCTAAGTCTTGCGGCATTATAATGTGGAGTATAGAAGTCAGGTGGGAAAAGGGGAAAAATGGCTGGAGAACGAAGGCTAACCCCATTCCTCCGTTCGAAGAACCTGTAAAGGGCTGCATTCAGAATGCGAGCACTTCTTAATGTGTAATCAACTCGCTTATTAGCGCCTGCCGTGCAAAAAGAACAAACGGCTATCTCCTTCGTCCTCATCATTACCGTCAGTTTTTTCTCCAAATTCGTTTTTAGCCTTTGAGCGTCACGAGCACTAGTGATAGTAAAAGACCCTTATTCCCCCAGATTTTCGCGCTCAAGGCCCGAGGAACCAGCAGCATTGCTAAGTTAGACTTGTCTATGAAGATAGCCACTTCAGTGCACCTACCACTCCCTGTAATCTTCTTTGATCAAAGCGGGTATCAAAATTCCGGTACAAATTGGGCTTCTATACATGTAGTTCAAACACTAATTATTGGTTTTCCATGGTAAAGGCAAGCGTCGACCCTATCATGTCTATGGTACGTCTGACGCGAAGGAGATGGATTGTCGAAAACAATACATTCTAAACGGTATAGCCTTTATTCACAAAGCCAGCTGTTTATAAAGGCTTTATAGTTGCACTTGAGGGTTTTTTTTCTTTTGCTCTTGGGGGATCGCTTCCTTGTCACTAATTCTTGCAAAAACTGCTTTATCAAATTTTGCTCTCTGGAAATCAAATTCATCCAAACCCAGCTACAGAGCTTCCCCTGTAGAATTCTTATTATGAAGTTGTAATTACTTTGTGCAGAAAAAAATCTTTCTTCCTCAAGGCCTGGCGTCTTCACAGATTTTTTAAACTAATGTAAAGCCGGGAGAGGTGGTCCATTCAAAGTGCAAAGTGACAAAGAGTGACAAAGTGTTTTTAAAACATGCTATAATATGACTTTTAGTTTAGGAGGCCCCTAGTCCAATGAATTGTCGAAAAAGAGCAAGCGTTGAAAAACTATCGTGTGCCAACCTTTATTGAGAGCTACTTCGTCCGTCAACTAGATCTGCTTTGCATTCATTTCAAATAAAAATTCTCTGCCTCACTATACGTTACAAAATCTCAAAATCTAGCCCGCGAAAACTTCACGGTATCTCTAACAATTTGTGGTCTTCACACGTGTAATAATTATATAACTGGTAATGGAACCAGGTCAATACGGACACCAAGGAGTCTGCCATAGTAGCCGTACCGTGTCTATCAAAGCAGGCTCTCACTAAAAAACGTCAAGGTTGCAGGTTTTAACAGTACGTAAGCTAAAGTACATTTTTACGAGAAAACGTTAACTTCTTAACTGTAACTGTTACAAGTTCATCCAATAAAACCTCACGATCATTTATCATAGTCCCAAACTTACATTACCTTTTAAGAATAAGGAGAGTTGATTTCAGGGAAAATATGACAGCCGAAACTGTCCGTAATAAATGGATGTCTGTAGAGCGGGGTTCCACTGTATATATTCCCGTGCAACCTGCTAGAGTATAAGGGCCTCTTCATATGAGCCCGCTTACCAATACTAATTTCGCCTTGGGTTCATGCGAGAAATGATAATTTCAGCCCAGTTTCCGAGATGAGAAAAAGCAAAAGATTCTGGGGACGAGTTTTGGTGCCAAATTCGAAAAAACATATCATAGCTTCGGCAACTCTTAAAGATGTATCTCTGCAGTTAAATGGGATGCTTATGATGTGGAAAATATCAGTAGCAGGCAATGCAGGACGATGCCATCCGGACCGCCAGAATTCATCCCGCTTTCTGATCCCCGTTTGCCAATTTTCCAGCCCGCTTACCGAGATCCTAGTTGAAAAAACCGAGCCAGCCCGCTGTCTCATATGAACATATCGAAAATTTTACAATGGATCTAGAGGTAAGGCGAGATCTCGGAAACCAGGCTCATGTAAAGAAGCCCTAAAAGTGCAGATGGTGTCTTTTTTTTTTGCTTTAGAGATGTAAAACATATCGTAGTTTTTACAGTAACTAAGCCTTAGTTTTGAAACTTCTACAGAGATCCACAACAAAAGCAATTAGATTCGTGCAAGAGAGAATGAGCTTGGTTCGTGACAATGATTAATCACGTAATTGTTAGCATGTATAACCATGTGCTCACTAAACAAATCAATATAAAATGATCCGTTGCATCGAATCAGGCCGGGCCACATGTCTAGCCCAGATCGTTTTGTCTAGATCTATAACTCAAGCAGAAAGTACTGGAAGTTCGAAAAATTTCTATTAATGGTTAATATATTTCTGGTAATAAAATCTACCCAGAAGAGCAAACAGGAGCCTGTGTGTGCCATGTATATAGTACACAGTCTTACATATTGCAGATATGCTGAATAACATGTTTGCCTAAAGAATCTCAATCAAAACTAACCCTAAAGAGTTAAATCTGAGAGAATTTTAGACTTTACAGTTCAAACTCCCCTCTCAACCACCGGCCCCCAGCCGAGAACTACCCTCCAACCTCATCTCAATCTGTACAATTATCCTAGGTTGTGATGAACTTGGATACAAACGCACACGAGATGGTCTCTCTTAATGAATTTCTTTCTCGGTAACAAAAACGAAAAGCGAAGGTTTTAGACTATTAGGTGTAGAAAAAATATATGACAATATAGTAGACCACAATCGCTACTTTCGTTGGTATTTCCCTCTGCAGCTTTAAACGGGTCCAGTTTCCTCGGAAAAATCAGCCTTTGTCTCCGCTTTGTCTTTGTCTCCGCTTATACAACTAAAACCCAAAAACTAACGTTTAACTAGTACAGAAAAAGGGCTGCTTTTGATGTGTTCACCTCGCAAGCACACGGACAATGTCAATTTACCAACCAAGTTGCCGACAAAATATTCTACCGAGTAGGTTCCATCCTTTTGGTCTTTTACATGCACATTTCTGATTTCGAATCCTCTCTCTATTAGTTTCACAGCGTAAACGTCGCCACCTTGTTTGCGTTGTCGGTCTTGGCTGTCGCGAGAAAAAATAGTGAATGTCGCCTTCCTTCCAGCGAATGCCTCTTTTGTCCCCTCGCCGATTGCAGTAGTGTTTGCTGCACAGGTTGATCTGTCACTGATGTCGCCTGCCCTCTCGATAGTTTTCTTTAATTTGTCAAATGGATCAAATATGGTCGCCATGGTGATCAAGGAGTGAAAACGTGCCTTGCCAGAAGAGAAATAAAAGAGATCATTGCAGTTACTTAATCAACAGTTACATAAAAATGTAATCTTGATTTTCAATAACGAATGATCTCATCACTGACTTTTAATATTCAATTTTACTTGTTATAAATTCCAGTTGCTCTCTAAATTTTCATAAACGACAGCCACAATTTTTAAAATTTAAATTTAATCAAGTTTCAGATCTACAATTACAATGACAATTAAACCAATCAATCGATCAATCTGAGGTAGGCTTAAGACAGAATACAAGACTCCTTAAAAATAAGCCATCTATTGTTGCATCATAAATAGATCTAGAGAATAAATTAAGTATAATAAAATTATCTAAAAAGTTATTTTAAAAAGTATTATTAAAAAATTACAAAAGACATGCGACATGAATAGTTATCAATAAAAATTATCATAAATGGACAAATGATTGAGCAAAGTACAGTGTAAAAATAGAAAAAATCTGCATTAAACTTATCATAACAAAAGGCCATCAAATTCTTATACAAAAGATTGACAAGGTATTTGACAAAGTCTTCATTTGTTGCTAGAACTTAAGTCACAGCATAGTTATTAGAGGAGACTATGGTCACAGTTATTGAAATCTCACCTTGCTTTCCTGTTCCTTTGAGAACTCCGGTAAAAACTGGGCCTCTGGCTCAAGCACCAAAGAGTAGCTTTCTTTGTTCTTGAGTGTAGACACTATAGCCGGCCTGCTTAGAAGGAACTGAACATCACTAGCAGATTGGATGGAGGATTTTGCTTGTTGAACTGCACTCTCTAAACATGCTTGGTTTAATCGCAGACGATCTTGCTGACCCGTGAGGATGGATTCCTTGTGTTGAAGTAGGCTTACCAGCTTATCCATCAGAGCTTGCTCTCGGCTATTTAGCGCTGCATGAAGCTACAAGAAAACATATATACGCTATGATTATATGCCCAGACTATTCCAAAGTTAATCTTTGCATATTGTCCTTCGGCAAGCTGTATTTTAAAACTAATAGGAATATTCCGTGCAAAAATTTTTCAGTATTATCCCTCAATGATGCCGTTTATCGGCGAAAGTTTGGATTATTAACTCTTATTTCAATATAAGCAACAGTTGATTAGTTAGTGTTATTCCAAATCAATCATGGTCCGAGAGTTCAGTGGCCCGAATCATTAGTTTCTGCATGTCACTTTGAGTGCTTTTTTATTTCTTATCGCAGTAACTGCTAACATACGCCGTTAATCAAAAACCAAAATACTGACTAATACTTGTTAGGGTTCTTGTAATAAGGAAATAATTCGACCCTATAACAAAGACATGCCTTACTTCTCCAAAAGACCCTTGAAGTTCAGCACGCTGTTCTTCGCAAGCCTCGTTCATAGAAACACTTGCTCTCCTAACTTGAGCTTCAGCAGCTTTTATCTTTTCGGCTTGAGAGCTGGCTTTGGTGACAAGTCCTTCCATCTCTTTTCGGTACTTTGAAGCAGCTTCAGCTAGTGCTACACACTTATGCCCGTTGTGATTAAGGGTGGCACAAAAGTACATATAACAAAACCACAATCTTCGTCGAAAAAGCGGAATTCTTGATCGTTATGTTCCGGGCAGCGAACAGACGCAAAAGCCAGCTGAGGGTTTGCTTTCAGTTCCTTGAAGGTAACAACGCGGTGGTCACGACTCAATTTGCTGCTTTTATGAATCTGAGCAGCAGTATCACACATGTTTTCTTTGCAATCCAGGCAGCAGAAAGTCGCGGGGTGTTTCTTATCGCAAGGTTCACAAACCTGCCTGCCTGTATTTTTAACTGCTTGTTTGGGTTGGTTGTTCACGATTTTTAATAAATCAAAATTCTTTGATAATCCTGCCACTCCAGTGGGAACTACAATTAAACTTCTGCATGTGGGACAACGGATGGTGTTACCATAAAGTAATTTCTCCAGACAGCTTGAGCAAAAGCTATGTCCACAACTTAGCATCCGAGGAAATTTGTCTTTGTCATTGTAACCTTCAAGACAGATTGAACACTCCGGTCCCTTGAATGCCATTGTCTAAAAAGGATAAAAATGTTTCACCAATTATAGGTAAGTTTGAAAACGAAATATAAAAGAAAGAGATACGATCTCACAACTTCGCACTTGTCACAGGAATTATTACTGGGTGGCCTGTGGCACAAGGCTTCTCGGAAGCAAGGAAACAACCATTTATGATAGATCCGAAGCGGCAGCAGTTTTTTAGAAAAAAATACTCAGTATCAACTAGGCGGTTTAATGCTGTTACAGAGATAACTGAAAAAAAATACTTGTTTAAGAAATGTTTTTAAATGTTTTTAATGTTTTTACCATGATAATTTATTTTTCAAAACGAAATAACAAGGAAATTTCTTCTGTTGAAATTTAGCTTTTTCTTAAATATAAAACTGCTTTTTCTCTATTCTTTCAATATAAATGAGCTCAGAAGTGTTCCAAACAAGACAGTAAACTTCCTCTGCTCTTATTTTAAAAAAAATTGTTATCACTCTTATACAACATTCACAGGTGCGGGACTGCGGACGGGAGGACTGGGAGGGGTTTTAACACAACCACGTAAAAATTGTTTTACTAGGTTTATTTTTAGATAATTGATTCATAACTTACAAAATTAACTTCGACGTCATTCACATGCTAACCTATTTTCAAACTTTGCAACACTTTTCCGGCTTTGTGCTTTTTGTTTCTTTTTATTGAGACTTTAAAAGCCGAACGTATACGTCATTTAGGTTTGAAACCTTTTGCTGAAAGGACGCTTAGATTTTCGACTTAAGAATAACGAAGTTAACAATTTTTTTTCTATCGACAATTAAATTGCTTTTTGGATCAGTGTGTCTCCAAATGATTTGTAATGTTTTTCTCGGAGATAAAGTGTTGTTATTGAATACTGCTTTCCTTTTGCTCTCCTTTTCTTTGCTTTCTTCTATCAAGGCTGTTTATAGCCATCAATATGGAAACATGAATGAGGAAATTGACGGCGGACTTGGCAAGGATAAAAAGTGAAAGAATGTCAAGAAAACAACTTTTGATAACTAAGCAGGGTTGTGTTGTAGGCTTAAGCCAATAATGACTGATACTCAAACGCCAGAGGATCAAGCAGCCGATCCTGACTACATCGAACGAGACGCAGTTCATTGATGAGACTGGAAACTACTTTTTACCACCTTGATGAACATGGTCTATTCTATCATAAATATTTTGAGATGGAACAATTTTACCTTAGCTAGTTTTTAACCTCTTTCCAATCGAAAGAGCTCCAACTCAGTTGACACCGACTTTCACAAGTTGTAGTGGTCTTTATAGAGGCAATTAAATCAGATTGAATAAGAATGTGGCCGTGCAATATATGTTTAGTAAAGAATAATATTTTGAGAGGCATTTCTAGCAATTTCAGGACATCAAGATTTCAAACTTTCTTCTGGGAGCGTGTCCTCAGACGCCTTAGGCCCGGTTCAGACACCGATCTTTTCATGAGCCGAACCTAATACATTGAATTAAGTTCATGAAAAATTCGGCGTCTGAATCAATTAGGAAAGCCTATTTCGATTTGGAACGGCTCAGCCGTTCTTCGCCGCTAGCCCGGCCGGGAATTTCGACTGTGGAACGGCTTTGATTCAGACGCCGAACTTTTCATGTACCGAACCTAATGCATAAATTATAATAAAGTATTTTGCAAGCAGTTTGACCGAAATGAGCATTTTTCTCCTTTTGAATTTAGTTTGGCTGGAATTAAGATCGGCGTCTGAATCAATTCAGGCGGTCTAAATAGTTTCAGTCGGCCTTAATTCGAATAATGTTCGGCTCATGAAAAGATCGGCGTGACCGGGCTTTAGTATGCCTCACTTTTACGGGTTCGGACACTTATTTTCCCGCCCTACTTCGTCTTCAGAGTAAGATCGTGGACCATGGTAGACTGTCAAGAATCTCGCCTTAATTGTCTGTCCCAATGCTATCATTCAAAGTGATGTTAGTCCCTACACCAGAGCCTGAGTGAACTTAGAAACGAAATACTTCAAATCAAGTGTAGTTTTTCTGAGTTTTCTCTGTTACTGGCAACACCTCAAACACAAGTGATGTTTATTTACTTCGAGATAACCTAATTTTGTTTTCCTCGTAGTTAGTTAAGATAAAATGACATGTGTCCCCGGCTATGTTAGCCAAAAATATTTTTCGGAGGGAGAGAAGCGACGACCGGAAATACGTCTGCCGTTCGCAGGCTACGGCTATGATGTCGGTTGAATAGCCTCAGTTCCAGGCTCCAAGAGAAGAGACCGTGAAAATTGATGCGAAAAAACGCGCATGGGCTTGGGAGAGAGGATGTTAGTCTCTTAAAACTTCGTTGAATCGTTTCAACATTCCGACTTGAATGCGATGCAAATTAAAACATAGTTAGTAGAGGAGACTGGTTAGGAAAGCCGTCAAACATCAAAGTTGAAAACAATGGTGCTGTATGTTATATTGGAAGCTCCCTGACCGTGCACAATCCTTTGTTTTTTGTTCATAAATTGTGACTGAGTAAATTGACACAATGTTTCTATTGGTCATTAAGTTCAAAATGATAGGAATGCTATTGAACGTTTTGCACAGTCAGGTCCAAAAAAGCTAACAAAAACATATAACAAAGAGTTTCCCAACCGTTCCACTTTAATTAACTATGATTATTATTCATTCAAAATATTTTCCCGATTCTGATTGGCTAAAAGCACTCGTTTAATTCACCATAACCAGTTACTGATGACCAAATTTAGAAGAATTTTGTGTTTATCGAGGAAATGACGTCAAAAATGCAGCGGTTTTGCAGGTTAAGGCACCGTTAACCCAGAAGACCTGGGGACGAGGTTCAGTTGTTTTGATTGTGAACTTGAATCAAAGGCTCCTAGGAGCGAGCTCATGGATGAATTGAAGTAGTGTAGAAAAAACATTCCATTTTGAAATTCAGGTGTTTGAAACTGCCTGGGCACTGTAACGGATTAACTTTTCTCCTTAGTTTTCTTATATTTCATGACTTTCTGTGTCTGTTGATATATTTGATAGATCATGTTTACATTGATCTTTGGCATGTGTTTTTTGGCATACAGTAATTAGCATTTGGTTTTTGGCATCTGCTTTTTGGCATACAGTGTTAAGCATTTCGTCAGCATTTCTTCGGTAACTTTTTGGCATCATTCTATGGCACTCACGCTTTCCACCAGCGACTAGGAAGCTCCCTTGCCCGAAGCTGTACGTGCTCTGACCTTTAAAGTGCTTTTGAAAAGATCTTTCCATATCGGTCAGTATGAAACACGGACTGCGGACTGCGGACCACGGACTGCAGACTGGGTATAAAATACGGACTAGGTATAAAATGAGGACTCCGGACTGAGTGTAAAACACGGACTGGGTATAAAATGAGGACTCCGGACTGAGTATAAAACAAGGACTAGACATGAAATGCGGACTACGGACTACGTATATAAAAACAGTTTTAGAAACTAAAACTGAGAGAAATGGAAAGTGGACTAGCAAAACAGTAGTCCCAGCTTGAACATCCCATTGGCTGTTCACTTAGTCTATTCTCCCCAAGGAGAAGGAAGGTTATGCCGGTACTCAAGGCAACTGAAATTAAACTCTGAATTTTCTAAAAAGAAGGAGTTAGAAGAGATTTCAATTTGCAGTTTTAAACCAGTAAGAAGCACCGAATTAAAAAAAAAATAGTATTGGTGTTAGTCAGATCAGTAAAATTCTTATCGGATGCCACAATTCCGTTTCAAATAAAGCCTTGGGAATATGAGGACTAATGAAGAACTCAGATGAGAAGGTCAATGTAGGGCATTCCGCGATGCACAAAAGCAGTATTTAGGGATGAGGGATTACTCACGTACGTGAATAATAACCGAAATGAGTCATCCAACGTTATATTCTAAGCGATGATTATGATGACATGATTTACACCCTGCTCCTGATCCCCGGAGGGGGGTACTACTGGGAATTCTTGGTGGGGGTGTGGTGCCCGGTTCTCCCAATCCTGACCTTATTTCATACCAAAAAATGTCATTTTCCACACCCGTTTTCAGACCAGATCTCTAAAATCCATACCCATTTTCGGACCTGGCCTAATTTACCCTGTTCCAGGCTCTCCCAATTCAGCGGACCCAACTATCTCGGAGGCTGGAACAGGTTAGGTCTAATTAAGCAGGAATTATGTTATCATTACCAAGTTAGAGCAGAAAGAAGAAAATTCTCCAAATGCATTTCGAATACGCACATTTCTATTTCGTTCCTATTCATTTGGAATTGAAACGATAAATACGTCCATTTATGTACGCTCCCGTAGTTCCCTCGAAAACCATACCCGATTCCAGACCAAAATGGGCAAAGTGGGTAGTCCGTAGTCCGTATTTTATACCCAGTCAGTAGTCCGCAGTCCGCGTTTTATACCTTGTCCATGTTTTCTACCCAGTCCATATTTTCCAGTCCTCGTTTTATAGCTAGTCCGTATTTTATACCCAGTCCGCAGTCCGCAGTCCATATTTTATACCGACC